TCCTGTTTATAAACATACTGTTATCATCATCATCATCAACAGCCTTTAATAGTCCACAGCTGGACATAAGCCTCTCCTTAGAAAGGAGGTTTTGGCCAACTATACCACGCTGGCCAGACGGGTTGGTATAGGGTTTGTGTCAAGTTTTCCTACATACTGTTATATATATATTATTTCTTCTACTTATTCCTAAGTAAACATGACTTTGCCCTTACATTCTCTTCTATTCTCTATTTATTCTAAAGGTTCGCTGACAGAAAACTCAGGTTTGGGTTAAACTCGCCTTTGTACATAAAATTTCCTTGTCACTTGAATATACATCAATTCATGTGTACAATAACGTAAATGTGGACTGCACGGATGGCGTAGTGGTTTAAGCGGTCGCCACGCCGCTTCCTACTACGCCGAGTGTTGTGGGTTCAAACCCCACATGGGACGACACTTTGTGTGATCCACAAATTGTTGTTCTGAGTCTGGGTGTTCTTTGTGTCCGTTTCATGTATGTTTGTAAAGTCCCTCGCGACACAGGATTTATTCCTAATGCGGGAGTTGTCTTTTTTTAAGAACACATAAAAAAAATATGAAAAAAGTATTTCAATTTTGTTCACTTTCATTCAACAGCTAAATAAATTAACTATTAACTGTGTTTGGTTGTAGTATCGTTGGAAATCGTGTTAGGGATTGTATTACAGCCCAGTTATTAATGGTCCATTCTACGAGTATAAAACAAGTAAAAGCTCAAGTTAGGCGACTTACAGTCTGAAGGCCAATTCTCGTAATAAAAATTAGAACTCAATACAGTTCCGATCAACTTTCGATCTCGCAACTGTAGTGAATTATTAAGCAGCGTCCACACTATGCCGGAGTATGCCGGGCGAGGCCGGGCGGGCTGACCCGGGCGGCCTAAGCCGGGCGGGTTCGTTCGGGCCGGCACGACGTCCACACCGAAAACGAGGCCGCCCGGGTTATATCTACCTATTAGTTTCAATTCGACACCAAGACTGGACAACTAAAGTCGCCCGGTGCCGCTCGGCACGTCCCCACTACATATTTTCGTTCAGCTCGGGCCGGCATCCTTTGATATGTACCTACTTTCTGCGGGTTGGGATCGGCTCTGCTCGGGCCGGCTTTTTAAGCCGCCCGGGGCGTCCACACCAACCCGGCTTAGGCCGCCCGGGTCAGCCCGCTCGGCCTCGCCCGGCATAGTGTGGACGCTGCTTTAAACATTCAACGTCGACTGTAATGTGATTATATCGTATTGTAACCGAAAATTGAATCGGTAATCTGCTAGTCTTAGTAATACTTTACTATTTTACTAGAAAATACTTTAAATGACAGTTGTGAAATCGAAAGTTAAGCGGAACTGAATTGAGACCGAACTGCTATTACCTGGATGGTTTCTGGGATAAAGACTATCCTATGTCCTTTCCCAGGACTCAAACTATCTCTATACCAAATTTCATCTAAATCAGTTCAGCGGTTTAAGCGTGAAAGTAACAGACAGACAGCAATTTCGCATTTATAATATTAGCATAGATTAGTATGGATAGATTACTTCCTAATCCCTAAAAGCTTAACACTTTACTGAAATTAATATAGTTCCTCCAAGGCTGGCAACGCGCTTGTGCTCCTTTTTTTTTCCGTGCGGGAATCCCCTCGGATACCACCTATCGGTGGCATGTTGGACTCGAACCGACTAAAACCGCACGCCGTCTCAGGTTCTAATAGCCGGGGAACCAGGTATACCCTAGAAAGGAAGTCCCTGGTGCCCCGACATACCTGGTGCCCGACATAACGCTTGTGACTCCTGAGTTTCAGGCGTTCATGTGCGGCGGTAGTCGCTTTCCATTAGGTGACCCCATATTCCATTTAAAAAAAAGTACGATTGAGCTATCATCTATTCATCATCTTGTTTAGCCGATCTTAACCGCAATTTCATTCCGTTTCGGTCACTTCCATATTACCTCTTGTGACATAACCTGCAATATAAAATACCATAGAAAAGTTTTCCATGCATTGTAACATTGCTAAGTAGCCTTAATTAATTATGTTAACATGAGAATATGCTATTGTTCGCTGTACGGACGCGGACTCATGGGAACTCAATCGTTCCTTGATTGTGATATTGTTTGCGTTCTGTAACGGAACCTATACTTAGTCCAAAACCTAACTTAATATTATATAGATATACTAACTCCCATGGGAGAGCCACAAATGGGCCGCAATTGATTTGTTGCTATCACCGAGTGATTGAAGTTACCGAAGCACAAAATTCTGCTATTTTAATATTGTGTCCAATAGACTGTCGATGGAATGTCGTTGGAATAGTTTACCAGTTTTCGTATTCTACTAACTATGTAAGACCAATGGCCTCCCAGTTTGTTCCCTCATTCGGCTCTTACGACACCCACGGGATGAATAGAGGTGGTGACATTCCGTATTCTTAATCCATCACCTCACGGTACAGTACGGTAAATCCTCCTTAAACCTATCAAAGTAACAACGCAATTGGCCGAGTGCAGATAGTGCAGTTTCTACGACTCTATGGACAAATACTAGTTCTTGAAGTTAGCTCTTTCAGCACAAAGTTATTAGAAGGAGTGCTCGCAGATACGGCGCTAACTAGATTTGTTCATGAACAAAACGAAGGAAACAAACTCTACGAATTGTACTAAGAAAAACTTTTAAGGTTCCGTATTAATAGTTAAAAACTTGATATGAGGATAATTTACTTTGAAAAATTATCTATGAGTCTATGCAAAGTAATGTCTATGCTAGTAATTATCTATGAATTTTGGATGGTAAGAAAACCGTTTTTTTTCTTCCCTTAATTTTCATCTCTAGGAAAGAATTTGATTCTTCAAATTTGAAAAGGACCAAGCTAATGAATACTTCCTGTATTCAAATAAAAAAAACATCCTTACTGATCTAATTCTGTTGTAACAACTATAAAAAGCCGAATTTTTTTAATCGGATAAACTTCGGACATATTGGTTATGGTTCGTAGTAGATGACTCCAAGTTGATGTGACAGAAAGGCGTGACAGAAAAAAAACTAAAAGAAAAAGAAGGAACTCTGATGAGACCTTCAACCTTTGTGAGATAGAACGAGTGAACTATAGTCATAAACACGAAGGAAAATAAGCTAATAAATTATTTTACCATCATCATCAACAGCCTTTAATAGTTCACTGCTGGACATAAGCCTCTCTTTAGAAAGGAGGTTTTGGCCTACTATACCACGCTGGCCAGACGGGTTGGTATAGGGTTTGTTTCAAGTTTTCCTTCTCTCTGCAGTGCTGTTGTTCTGCGTAGGTTTCTCCCTTAGTCGGCTCTTACGACACCAACGGGATGAATAGGGGCGGTGACACTATGTAATCTTAATCCGTCACTACACGGTCATCATCATTTTATATGATTACCTAATCAATTCATAAATCTGTTTTTTTAGAATGTTAGAACTGTTGTTTGAAATGGGGACTGTTAGAACATTTCCCTATGACTTAAATCTGCATATTGTACGAAATAGGCAAGGGAACAGTAAAAAATATCAACTATATTTCTGTAAATTCCCACAAAAGACGAAAATATGAGAATACCGAACGCCCTCCGTGAATTCCGTTGGGAATTCACTCTTTTTTTTCTCTTTGAGAGACACTTGGATTTCAATTATTGGCTGACAATTTGCTGGACAAAGGATAATCTGATTACTTTGTATTTCACTTTTAAGAACTGATTGGGAAATAAAATTATCTTTTTAAAAAGAAAGACATTTAGATTTCATTATTTTACAGTTTGAAAAGTATATTTACAGCTGTATTAAAATCATTTTTTTTTTACACGCTTTATATTAACTTCACTTGTATGTCTGTATGTTTGTTTGTAACCCACTCCTTTGGGCGTGATTTTGACTGACTTTAAATGGTCAGAATTCGTTCAAACTTTGTAGATATATCGAGGACCGATGACAATACACTAATTTGAAAAAAAAAGGATAGTTTAAAAAAACTAAAAACCACGCTTTTTATAGAAAACCAAAATAAATAAATTTGAAAAAAAGCTTTGGGTACCTGTTGTCAATAGTAAAAAGCACCCCACGCTTTTTTTCAAACTTATTTTACATAGTTACAAGCGAAGTTAACAAAATCGTTTACATAGTATGTTTGTATGTATCATGTATAAATACTAGTATATATGTGCATATGTAAATATAAATTTATGTTCGTACTAATGACCTGCGTAATTAGTTTTATATGTTAATTGATGTCTGGCAAATTTAAACCATCGAAATTATTTTGTAGAAATAATGAGTACAAAAGGATGACTTATGTAAGGCAATAACAAGTATAACAATTAAAAAGATAATATTCAGAATTGCGTCGCGTCGCCACACAGTGTACACCTGTTACGTAAACTATCATACAGCGTGGCGACGCGATGTTTGATGTCAAAAACATTGATTCCCATTGATCACATGTGTAACCTCTGTGCACTTACCTTACAAGATTTCTACACCACTTAAAGGCTGCCTGGTAGAAAAACCCCTTTTTTTTTTCTTTTTTCCGTGCGGCAATCCCCTCGGATACCACCTATCTGTCTATCGGTGGCATGTCGGACTCGAACCGACTAAAACCGCACGCCTGTCACACCTGCCACCCCCAGGTCTGCGCTTTTGGAGGACGGAGGTCGTACTGCGACCTGAGGCGCCTGAGTCGCCTGCGGTAACTAGCCCGTTCCCGGGCCTGGCGGGCCGGGAGAGTCCTAAACCTCTCCCGGTCCCGCTCCGCCGTCTCCTTCGCGAGCATAATTTGCTCGCAGAAGGAGACTGCAGAGTTCCACGCACTCTCGCTCAAGGTAGAAAAAGCCCTGGGCATTAAGGCCGTCAGGTACATACATGCAGAAAGTTGTAAATAAAAACAAATGAAATAAAATAAACGAGGGCATAGTGTTTAGAAATCTGTAAACTTTCAACTTTATTCTAAATTTTTCTTTCCTTAACAGCCTGCGACTGCCATCCTGTGGGTGCTAGTGGGAAGACCTGCAACCAGACGAGTGGGCAGTGCCCCTGCAAGGACGGCGTCACCGGCACCACCTGCAACCGTTGCGCCAAAGGATACCAGCAGTCGAGGAGTCATATTGCACCTTGTATACGTAAGATATTTTATATATTGTGTATATATAGTGTATGTATAGTTTTAGATGTTTTCCTGTAATAGCTAAATACTCGGGAAAAGCAGCTGGACCATTTTTCTGACGAGATCACGGAAAGTTAAAGGGAAAGGATAAGTTCTTTCCCGCTCTGTGGAAAGTATTTGATCTCCATGAATGTTGACCAAAAGAGTAAAGAAAGTTGTAGTAGCGAATTCCACATGCAACCCTAGGGGTGGACCCTATGGTTGATGTAAGTATTAAGTATGATCACCTCGTTTGGTCGGAGGATTCTCCATTAGCGTTGAAGAGACCTGACACCCGTTCCTCTACATACGTACCTCACCCACTATGACTAGGCTTTTGTTTTCACCAACTACCCTCACGATTTGAAACCACGAGCTTAGTTAGGTCATCGAAACGATAGAATAAAAATACTATTTCCAGTAGGGATTCAAAGAACAGACGAAGACATATTTATCACATCAACAGCCTATACTAGTCCACTGCTGCACATAGGCCTCTCCTTAGAAAGGAGGTTTTGGCCTACTATAAGATATACGGATAATATATTTATATCTATGCTTATAACCTAATATTCAACATGTTGTGTCTTAAGGCGTGCTTTCACATCCATATTCATGCTTGGCACAGCCTCATCATTAAATCCCGCTTCTCTTCGCCACATATGGAACTAACCAGTGCTCATGGTGTGCAGGTATCCCTCGTGTGGTGACGGCCGTGCAGGCGATGGAGGCGGTGGACGGCGAGCCGGGCCGCGGTAAGTAGTAAGTGTAAAATCATGCACTCTCGCCTCACACACACTTGCATCCATGCAGACATTCAATATACTACTCTGTCAAGAAAGTACCGGGAAAAGATCAATAATACATAAAATGTTTGTTTTTCATCCAAATTTATTTTATCACCTTCAAAGTATGCTCCTTCAGAAACGATACACTTACACCAACGAATAATCCAATCATCAAAACATTTTTTAAACGCTGTTTCCGGAATTGAGTTCAGTTCTCGCCGCGAATTCTGCTTTATGTCTTCTACCGATTGAAAGCGGGTGCCACGAAGTGGTAATTTGAGTTCAGGAAAAAGAAAGAAGTCGGCTGGAGCCATATCTGGTGAATATGGTGGTTACTCAATGGTATTTGTTGAGTGTTTCAGTGACGCCGAACACGAAATTCCATTGGCGATGCAAAATTTAAGACAAACTCTTTGTTCGATGTTTTTGTCCATTATGAAATTCGCAATACACACTAGATATGATATAACTAAAAACAGCACTGTATTTAATATAAATAACAGATGCAACTCAAACTCCGCGCCAAAATGGAAAACAGTTGTGCCAATCTAACAACAACAAAAAAAACAAAAATTTGAATTTGGAACCACAAACAAATCATCCATTCCCGATACTTTTTTGACTGAATATAAACCCTGAACCTTTTGTAGAATCTTCTGAAGATTTTTTAGCCATAGTGTACCCAGTGAGACGTGCAAACCTTCCGACATGGTAGACACAGGAGTTAATATTGCGCTTTGTATTTGAAAAAAGAACAGTCGAATTTAACGTAAAAACGCACTGCAAGTTTTTTTTTTTGGTTGATAAAATAAAACTGATGAATTGGCAGTAAGTTTAACGAAAATGTAAACCTTCAACCGTAAACCTTCATGTCACATAGAATCGGTAAATATTAAAAAAAAAGTTGAATTTGTTTATCGAGATTTTGAGAAAAATACCCGAGAACATAACGTCAATAGTGTACAAGCTAGCCTGTTTTGTAATCATCTCGTTTTGATAATATTGTCTCTATTATCCATTTTTAAAGAATATAAAGTATAATACAATATATTTTCTTTATGATATCAATATCACTTAAAGAGAAAATAAAAAAACTTTTTCATGGTACCTGGCCTGGTGTCGCTGACGTTATGACAATGTTAACACTTGCGATCTTTATCGTTAAAAATGCCCAGTATCATGGTACGGGGTCATCTGATGTATTCTTGTCATAAAAAAAAAACATTACTAGTGTATGTAATAAACTTAATTTTATTCAATAAAATTATTCTTATAAATAGGTATTATAAGATTAAAGAGAGAGATATTACAACGCTTATTTTGGCTCAACCAACTTAAGAACTTTATTTGTTATACCAACATGCTGGGTGCACTATGTGGGAGTTACTTAAGAACTATATAAAAGTTTTTCTTATGAGTCTATGATTGAGTGTCTGTATAAAGGAGTATACTGTACTTTTTTAATTGAAGTTTATTTCTGAACTAGCTGGTACCTGCGACTGCCTTAGTGGGTTCGATGCCCGGACCAGGCTAAATTTTAAAGGTTTTTTCTGAAAGGAAAAATAGCCTAAGCTATTCCTTATCCAGCTACCTGGTAGAAAAATATTATCGAAATCGGTCCAGCCGTTTAGCAGATTACCCGGAACAAACAGACAGACCGACAAAAAATATGTAAACTGGTTTTTAGGCATAGGTATCATGAAAAAAAACCTATAATTTTGATATTACAAACAGACACTTCAATTTTATTTATTTGTATAGATGTATAAATTAGTAAATGGAATGACTACTAAACTAAACTAATCAGATAACTAAATTGTCAACTATATAAAAAAGTTCCAATATGGCAGTGTAAGCAATCTTACACACATAATACCGAGGCTTTCTTTCTCTCGATTATAATAAATATCTTTTTTGGTTTAGGAGCGTTTACATTCCCTTTAGTCCTATCCAAATTCTGTACCACCCTGAAGGGTGTATAATTAAGACAGACACAGTCAAAAGTTAATTATTCTAGTTCGAGTTCAAATTACCAGAAATCTGCTGTTTCTGACTTTAAAGTAAATCAAAATAAATTCTTTTTTTTTATGGTATAAGGGGGCAAACGAGTATACTGTTCACCTGATGGTAAGCACTACCGCTGCCCATGGACACCTGCAACTCAAAAGTCACAAGTGCGTTGCTTGGAGTCCCTCCCGCTCGGGTTGGGTTCCGGTAAGCTCATTCACTCAGTGAAAGGCAACGAAAGAATTGCTTAACACTGGTTTTCTGAGAGGCCGTGGTATCACTGCCGGCGCATTCGTGCCGAAGCGTGACTTTCCCACGGTAAAAAATAAAGAACTGTAAAAATAAGATCTTTATAACATATGAAATACCAAGTAGTACAATCTTCAGCTAAAACGAAATAAACTACGAACTTAAAGGTGCATGCTTAATGGACCGATAAAAACTAGAAATTTATTACAGACTAAACCACCAGTGCAAATTTTCTAGTTAATAAAACATGGTATTTACCAGTATGACGACACCGTTAAGTTACTTAGAAATTTAGTTTTGTGTTGTGAACCTGTCCTCTGACGCGTAACCGGCGGTAGAATAATAAAAATATTCAGATAGAACGGGAATTTTCCAAAGTGTTTCCTAGAATCCATGTGTGTGGACCATCAGGTGTAGGTAGACCCCGGCAAAAGACTTAATGACGAAACGCTGTATGGTTTTAGTCGGTTTTATGCTACTATACTCCTCCTCCTCCTCCGCGAGGTGACGACCCGTGTACGTTCTGCACAAAAAAGGTGTAAAATGTACGGTTTTCATCACGTAACTAAATTAAGAAAGTTACTCGATTAGAAAACACAGATCAATAACATAAATGTGGATGACTTTTACCCACGATCTCAAAATGACATGTTAACAATCGTTTAAATAAATAGGAAAAAGAATCGTTTTGTATTCGTATATCATCATCATCATCGTCATCAACAGCCTACAACAGTCCACTGCTGGACGTAGGCCTCTCCTTAGGTTTTGGAGGAGGTTTTGGCCTACTATACCACGCTAGCCAGACGGGTTGGTATAGGGTTTGTTTCAAGTTTTCCTTCTCTTTACAATGCTGTTGTCCTACGTAGTTTGCTCCCTAAGTCGTCTCTTACGACACCCACGGGATGAATGGGGGTGGTGACATACCGTATTCTTAATCCGTCACCACACGTTCGTATAACAAATATTAAACATCCTTATTATCAGAAGGATGTTTGGATGGACTAATGGGTCTCATAAAATGAATAATTTACATCTAAAATGCAGATATCTTGTTTTATACGCTAAACTTATAGTTTTCTTTTACAAATAACTTGACATAGGCAGTCTGACCACGATTGAGTATGGTTAGACAGGTACTAATGACAATTCCTTTAATTACAAATAAAAAGTACAGTATCTCCGACTTATTATTAATTTGCACTTTAATTTTATTTGTGAATACGACTTTTTGATAAAATAAGCAACCTTTTGAAAACGTCACTATCATCAACAGCTTTTAATAGTCCACTGCTGGACATAAGCCTCTTCTTAAAAAGGAGGTTTTGGCCTACTATACCATGCTGGCCAGACGGGTTGGTATAGGGCTTGTCTCAAGTTTTCCTTCTTTTTGAGGTGCTGGTGTCCTGCGTTGTTTTGCGCCCTTAGTCGGCTCTTACAACACCCACGGTATGGATTGGGGTAGTGACATTCCGTATTCTTAATCCGTCACTACACGGATCTCATTCATAGAGCTGTTTAACTTAGAATCTTAAGTGTTATTGTTGCATATTGTTATCGAAAGGTGGTATTGCCTGTATCATTCTCACACTATATCACAAATGTCATTCGACTTTGAAGATGATTAGTAATATGTTGAGTTATAATGTTTTGTGAGAATGCCAATTTAATACAGTTTAAGAGTGTTTATCGAATGAATTCAATAAAACTGAAATAAACAAAAATTTGATGAACGCTCTCAAGTGTACAATTAATTTGCTTTTCATTCATTGTTGTACTCATAAATTTGTTTTGTTTTGTTTTATCAGTGACGACTATAAGGTAACCCATTCATATTAACAGTTTTACCGCACGTAATTTCAAGTTTATTAGTAATGTTTTTCACACCAAAACCATGCTCCATTATAAATTAAATATATTGTACTGTCAAAAATAACAAAACTTTTGCATGCACCTATTTATTTTATCCACAATGATAAGTAAACTGAATCACATACAATTAATGATATCAAGATAGTTGTTATGATGCATTCTGATGTGTGTGATGATTACTTATTTGGGTGATATGTATAACAGCAGCGGAGCAGTGCGGCCGGTGTCGCGCCGCCGCTCGCACGCTAAACCTCAACAAGTTCTGCAGCCGAGACTACGGTGAGTTGAGACCCTAAAATTGAAAGACTCGGTTTTTTTACCTTTTCGCTTCTGATTTTGTTGCTGTAAGTACATACGTATGTATGTTTTAACACCTTTCAGCATATACTCACGACTGTATGCCCTAAGGGGCAGATCATCATCAACAGCTTTTAATAGTCCACTGCATGACATAGGCCTCTCCTAAGAAAGGAGGTTTTGGCCTACTATACCACACTGGCCAGACGGGTTGATATAGGGTTTGTGTCAAGTTTTCCTTCTTTTTGCAGTGCTGGTGTCCTGCGTTGTGCGCCCTTAGTCGGCTCTCGACACCTACAGGATGAATTGGGGTAGTGACATTCCGTATTCTTAATCCATCACCACACGAACAGTGTAGTGGATAGTGGTAGTGGTAGTTATTTGGCGAAATCCATTTCGCCACAGGCAGTAGGCAGCTCCCACATCTTAATCCGCTACTGCCTATCCAATTTAGCGTGAGTCTATGTGTGTATATACAGATAGTAAACAGCTTGGTATTGTTCTGTACAGTCATAATGGGCAAGGTGGTGGGTCGCGAGGCGAGCACGGCGGGCGAGGCGTGGGTGCGCCTGGCGCTGAGCGTGCAGGCCGTGTACAAGCGCGCGCCGCGCAGCCGCCTGCGCAGAGGCGCCACCGCCCTGCACGTGCGCGCCACGGACCTCGCCTGCAAGTGCCCTAAAATCAAGATCAACAAGTAAGCATCAGTAGTTTTCCTCAAATTGAATCGAACTTGAATTTTTATTTACTTAAATTACTTTAAGTAGAACTTAAATTGGAACAGAATTTAACTTGCGTTTCTCAATTTTGCTCCTGAAAACTGAAAATAATAAATTCTGTGCTGTCATTAGTACAAAATCAGTGCACCATTCATTCCAAGACTGAAACATAATTTGAGGCATTGGAAGTCAACGAAGCGTTGCTAACTTAGTCTGAGTGTATTCGTAATAAAATTGCTGTTCAAATTAATTTTAAATTACTGTTGGCTCCTGTAATATTTGTGACAGTTTTATTTTGTTCAATTTGCCAACTTTGTATATAAAGTACTAGTTTATTGTTCAGTTAAAATTAACTGCCAAGATTCATACGGTGTTTTAAAATGAAGTTGCTATGGCATATATTGAATATTTTGTCACCAGGTCATACCTAATCCTAGGAGTGGAAAAAGAGGGCGTTTCAGCCGGTTTGCCAGGACTGACGGTCGGCGACAGGACACTACTGTTGGAATGGCGCGACGATTGGCACCGACGCATCCGCCGGCTTCAACGGCGCGCTATCAACTGCCACTAGCCGACCGCCATCTTGTAAATGGTGGGGATAAAGCAACCAATGAGAGCGCTCGGTTCTCGTCATAATCCGTCGTTGCAAAACATACGTGAATTTTTAACGTAGTTGTTTTAACTGTTACTGCCATATACGTGCTGTCTATATATAAATTCATAATACAATTTTTGCGTCAGGAATGAATGTTAGGTATATTGTAAGACTGATTGTTCGTCCCTCAGTTGCTTCAAGGGTATTTAGTTTATATTTGATACTAACGGTTTTATTATCTTAGTATACATATTTTCTTGCGTACGGTTTTGTATCTACCTTACTTATGTCTGTTATGACATATAATTTGCCGTTATTTCAAATGATTTATTTCTTTGTATCTATGGTTTTATAGAGAATGTTAGTCTTAATAACATCATGAAACTATTGAATTTATCTCCCAATTTAGTAGAAAAACTCTTACTCTAGCAACACTGACTGTATTGACAAGGTGTTTTCCGTGCTAATTTTTTTTTTAAATTCAATTCATTTCCATAAGGTACCCACAAAACTGACGTTTGACGATTGTTCTCATTCGGATGAATGATTTAGTAATCTGTATGTAATAAACACTCATTTTTATATACATAGATAAGTTTATCTGTCCATATTGATGTCAAAGATTCATTCCTGACGTGTTCGGCGAACGTTTACCTAGTCCGTTTACGGAATAACGTTAAAATAATTGTAGTTCTCAACTGTTATAATACAACCAGTTTTATGCCAAAAATGCAAGAGAGATTTGGACACACGGCGCCATATTGTATAATTACTAGAGAATAAATACTAGAGATCGCCAGGTGGTCGAATTTGACCGTCTTGTTATTTTATTGACCAGTATATTTTGAACTGTCATTGTATAAACTTATGTATGACCATGACAGTGTGTCCGTTTATGTGGCTGTTTTTACATATTCCTAACTTTATAGCACATGTTGTTTACACATTTTAGCTTTGTGCATTTCTAGTATAATATATATCTACATTGAGTATTCTAATTATTTCTTTAAAAAGGGGTGCAAAGAATTTTGAAAAGCAATACATTAAAACCGATTGAACTTCAAAATGCAAATATAACCTAATGGGATATGGGAATGGGATATATAACCTAATATAATAATGGCGTAATATCCACGGGGCCCAGAACTTCGAATTTAAATTTTAAATAATGTTTTTAAAAATCGAAAAGGTTTAAATGTAAACGGTTACTGTCATAAACAAATATTGGACAATGTAATTATATTATCTGTGTCGTGTGTCTCACTCTTTACAAACTTCATAAATTTTCCCTTCCTAGGATTTTGTTGAAATGTACATTAATATTATTTATTTTGAATAATTTAATTTTATAAGGCAACGTACTGTAGCGTTCCGTTTCTTGCATTTTTTGTATAATTGTTATTTTATATTGAGAATGCTAATGTTGATATTGTTTTATGTGCATTTAATGTGTGACGTTACGATATCTGTCAAAATTTGACACTTCGTCTATCTTCAAATTTATAATATATAGTAATTATAGTTATTAATAACTAGCAGTTTGTAAGTACAATATTAAGCGTAAAAAAAGCTTACCATAAATGTAAACGTCAGTCACTCGCCTAACTGTCAACTGTCAAAGTGACAGTCGCCTGACAATTTTGACAGCTATCGTGGGTTGTGCACGTGACTGCACGGTAGATGTAGGACTCATTCGGAGGAGAATCACCACATAGTCACAATGGTTTAACGTACCTCATTTATTATAAAACTTATACTAAGATTAAGTGTTTAATTTATATCGTTAGCGCTTAGATTTTATACATTATAAGCTAAAATATCAACTTCATTCTAATGTGTTCGTTTCCTTTTAATTTCTGTAAATTAAATCATTTAAATATTAGATCTTGCCAAAGTAACATTTTTATTTTATTTTGTATAGAGTACTTAGTATTCCCTGTTTAATGTTTTCGAGACATAACTTTTGAACAAATGCGTTGCCTAACTAAGGTATGTACAGTATTACTAGCTTTACTAAGAAAAATAATAATAAGATACTTAGTGGTTTTGGAAAAGTACAACCGGAGAAAATATAAGTTAAAAAAAAAACTATATATCTCTAACTGGCCTGTTGGTCTGCTAAACCAAGCTTGGTGAGTTACATTCCCACCCAGGATTCTCTGATCAACACAATGATTTGATTTGTCTGGTTGTCATTTACTTGTAATATGTATTTAGTAATATTTAAGTATGTTTTTTTTTTCTTGAGTTAACAAACAGTAACTACAGAAACCTTATAAATAAATACACAATTTACAAAAGTTATTATCTGTAGTACCAACACCGTTAACTACAGATAACTTTTAAATTAATATATTTGATACTTCAGTCGAGATAGGTATCACAAACTAATTTTACCTATCAGCAGTAACATTAACTTTTACTAACTAACGTGCCCTAAGTTAAATAATGTTTATCAGCAATCCAGTTACCGTAATACAGGGTATGCCCAATTTGGTATCGTCGGTCGTATGTGAAAGTTACAAGTTAAATTTAAGTTAATCTCAATTATTCCACTTGCAATACAGATGTGCATTAATATCGAAATGACAACAAAGACTAAACCTATAAATCATTTTTATAGAGAAAAAAAACATGTCTCTGAGATATTGAACAACTCAATTGAGTATTAAACTTAAAAAGTAAGCGATCGCTTACAATTGAGCTGTCAGAGTTTATTTATGATATCTGGCCGTGCCCTAAGTACACAATGGCATAAATCAACATGACGGCCGGTGCGTTTTACGATAATCAATGTTGCTGACCGTGCCGGAGCGGCGGCGGTATGAACTGCCACGAAATGGCGGCTCTTCAAAAAAAGAGTGTTTTATAATTAAGTATATACTTCAGTTATTTATACAGACAAATAAATGCAAAGTGAAAAATTAATTCATCTGTTACCTTAAGAACAAATTTCGATTTCTTTTTTCAAAAAAACCGGGTGCAAATCTCACACGTCGACCAAGTTTTCGGATCCGGTCGTTTCGGAAATCAATTGTCGATGGTATCTTCCGAGTGACAAACTTCTTAATTTTGTCGTTTTAAAAATATTCTCTCATACATCGATAAACGTCACAAGCAGTTTTTCAAGCGCAAAATATGAATTGATACATGCAAAACATTTTTTATACGATACAAAAACAAATTAACTACTTTTTTCTTTACACTACGGACAGACAAACGGACAACAAAGTAATTTTATAAAGGTTCCTTTTTTCTTTTTTAGAACGGAACCCTAAAAACCAAGTAACTTTTAATGCATAAGTATATATATATTGTTTGTGAAGAAACAAAAGTCTTATCTAGGATACAATCAGTGACAAATAATAATTTAAACAGATCAATGACATTTCTGACGGAGCAGTAATGATTAAAAAAATATTATTATTTGTCACACCTGTACCGAAAAATGGTTTCTTTGTTTTCTTGTTTTTTTTTCTTAATGTTAGGTAAATTAAAACATTTTGTTCTTAAAAAGTATGAATACGATATAAAAAAATTCTTTTTTTGGAATGGACAAAATCTGAAAATGTGGCTTTTAGTATTCAGAGCAGGGAACTTTCACATTTTAGCTACGTGGTATTTTCTTATGAGATTCTATACACATAACTAATTATTCTAAGGCACTTAATTAGGGGTGTAGAATATATTACTTTTACCAGCTTATAATAGTTATATCTGCATGCCCCTGCCAAATTAGTTTTAAAACTTACACTTTTTAAATATTTTACTAAATATTTTTCGAAGTTGTGCTCTTTCAAAACCAAAATAACGTAATCATAGATAAAATAAATATTTAAAAATGACTTAGAGGTTTCGCTTCATCGTTCTACGGATTGTAAAAAGTGTATTTAGTTGTAGATGAAACAATTAATCCGTTTCTAGTTATGCATATCCTTAGATTTCATAATTTGTGTAATTTTAAATTATATCCTAGCGCACTACAACGTAATACATAAAAAATTAAATGTCAAAGAGCCCAATGTCAATTTAGTAACTTTACCCTTTTTAATTGTCTATGGAAATAGTGCGCCAAAATATAATTTAAAAAATAAAAACTACTGATAAAATACTGATATTAATATGAAAGAACGTAATTGTACCTATAGTTATACTTACCTTATTTTTTAATAATATATGTGAATATTGTTTTATCTTCCAAATAATTTATTCTGAATACATCTTAGTAGGCACTCTTTTATTTGTAATAAATGAATAAAAAACAGTATCTAGTATTTACTTATAAAATAAAAACTTTTTAAAAATACAACAACTAAAAATTTAAATTTCGAATGTTCATTCTCTTTCTTAACATTTGTGTTAGGAAAACAGAATGGAAATCTGAGATACACTTTTGTGTAAAGAATGACCGAAATTTTAAACTAACGTGATTTTTCATTTCAAAAAGTCAATTACATACTTTATTGATTCAGTTATGTTATGCTAAAAATAAATATATACATATATATGTACTATTATCATTGATATATATAACGCACAACTAAGGCCTATTATGCTTCCTCTCGTAAACGTTAATAAAAATTGACATTCAGTACAGTTTACGACTTACTCTGTTAATTAATAGTATAATATAATATCACTTAGTTATACTTATTTATATGTTAAGGGATATCAATTGAATAAGGAAAGCGCGCGAATGTTTCCCCTGACACATAGATTCAAAATGGCCGATTTTTAGTCTATGGTCTGCGAAACGTTTGCCGCGCAATTGAATTGTGTTTTCGAGATACCCTGCTCCTGTGATGTAATAAATGTTATTGGTTATATTTATTTAAAAATAAAAGTACATTAATATACGGACTTGTTGTTTTTTTTTAAATACAATAATACCTAATTGTCAAAACTTTCAAAGCAGTGAAATAACAGATCAGAGAATGGAATTACAATATTTGCTTAACGTTTAGCAGAGACCATAA